AGAGAGGTGGAAGAACATGATAACAAGGAAGCAGAAAGCCTAAAGGATGAAAGGGGAAGGGGCTTAAAAAGGGGCAGGTGGCTAAAAATGAATAAAGGAATGAGGAAATGGGGAAAAGAGTTAAAAATATTAAAAAAAAAAAAAAAGTGGGACGTCTTTCAGGAAGATCCTTGGTAATCAGGCCATGAACCCAAGCCGAGTTTGCCCAAGGCTGAGGAGCATGAGGAAGGTTCTGGATTCATAACTTAAGATCAATACAGGACGTGAGGGCCAGTCCAACCGAGAGTGGATGTCATAAGCTCAGCTCTTGCTTTTAACTACTTTTAAGTCTCCTACAGATCTTCCCCTGGGGCTGGAATTTTTTTCTCAATTTTTAGTCACTTCCTCACCAATGCTGAATTTTATATGAAGAAAATTCCCAAAACTCACTGGAAGTTTTTAGAGCAGAACAAAGTACAGGTTTCACACTTTTAAGAAAAATGTTCAGACTTTGGCTGTAGCCGAATAACTTCAAAATGGATTCATTTTTAAAACCCAGCAGAAGAGAAATAGGTGAAGGAAATGCATATTTTAGACTATTTGTTTTAACATAGTTCAAAATCCAATGAGCAACAGGGGAACGCTGAACCACCAGAAAAGGCTCTCTGGCTGGTCTACCATCATCGGTGAGAATAATAAGGACTTAGAAGCAGGGGAGGGCATTTTAATTCCTTCTTGCAAGGGCAGGATTGTCATGTGACCTCCATGCTCTTGGATGTGTTAATGGTTTCCTTTGCTTTTCCTCTAAACTTGTCTCTTACTTCTGGAAGACACTGTGAAGGAGGGGAAACAAGCTGGTCTGAAAGCACCTGGCTTCAGGCCTTGGGTGACCCTGCCCATGGGCCTTCATCTCTCCATTTTTCCACTTCGCTGTTAGACGGCATTACCAACAAACCCGATCATCTCACCTCCCCAGCATGACAGCGGGCAAAATTCAGACAAATGATGGTTTAAGACAGTTTTGACCAGGCATAAAGTGCTGAGATATTATAAATGCTTATTCACGCCTTTGATTGATTGATTGATTTTTTAAATCAGTGGAGCCACTCCAAGAATCATGATTCAAGAATACATGTTCATGGAAAGCCATGTTGGAGGAACGCTTGGGGTGTCGGAACCATCTCGATGTTTTATTAAAACTAAGCCATAATGGGTTTGTAACCATTTCAAAAGGATTAACTTAAGTTAGAAGTGCCCATTCAGAAAGGAAGTGGAGGAGAAAAGGCCTACCTAAGTCTGAGATTCTATAAAGAGCATAGTCTGTAAGGCAGCCCCTGAGTCAAGATCTGAGAAATTATTGTTGTATTAGTCCTCCAATATTCGTGTAACAGAAAATCAGAAAAATCAAGATTAAAAGACAGAGTGTGGAGAGATGCTGATAAGCCTGAATGTGTTATGGGGCTGCCTCCATGTGTGTTCCAGCTTTTAGAGGTGCCGAAGTAGTAACATAGGCACAGAAGTATTACAGGGGCACAGTGGGCTCCAGGCTAATGTGTTATCGCAGGGAAAATAACACAGCAAAGGGAATAGGAAAATAACACAGCAAAGGGAATGGGCAAATCGATCGAGCTCGAAGATCCTGATCAAAGATCCTGATCAGTCTCACTCTAATGATTTATGTTCCTCCCTGGGGAAAAAAAAAATTAAGAAATTCCTTCCCCAAACCCTAGAAAGGTTGAGAATCTAGAAAGACAAAAGCAGATCTACATAAAAACCTTGATGAGTAATACATAAAAGTTTTAGAGGTATGAAAAGCAAAAGCAATCATCCAAAGTCCTTCAGAGGGTTTTGCCTGAGGCCTGCGGTGCATTTTCCAGAGTTCTCTGGGACAGGAAAGGCGGCCGTTGGCAGCCATGCCCAGGTGTTTCTCACAAGCATACACCATGGCAGGTACCACAACAAGGTCTGCTTTGGGTTCAAGTGATGACCATCAGCTTTCAAAACCAAGAACAAAAGGTTTCAAGAGTTTGTTTCAGTTTTGTCTCACCCAAACCAGAAAATCTGGGGACGGTGGAATTCTCTACAGTTCTGAATTTCCTAACGTGTTAAGGAAATGGAGAGGCAATGGCATTTTCATCTATCAGTTCAAGTGAAGAAAAAAAGAATGTGACTACAACCCAACATTAAAAAATACTTTTGACGAAAAATGAAACAAGATGGGATCGGGATGGGAGGGAGACAAACCAAAAGAAACTCTTTTTTTTTTTTTTTTAAGATTTTATTTATTTATTTGACAGACAGAGATCACAAGTAGGCAGAGAGGCAGGCAGAGAGAGGGGAAAGGAAGCAGGCTCGCTGCCAAGTGGAGAGCCTAATGTGGGGCTCGATCCCAGGACCCTGGGACCATGACCCGGGCCGAAGGCAGAGGCTTTAACCCACTGAGCCACTCAGGCGCCCCCATAAGAGACTTTTAATCTCACAAAACAAACTGAGGGTTGCTAGGGGGAGGGGGTAGGGAGAGGGTGGTGGGGTTATGGACACTGGGGAGAGTATGTGCTATGGTGAGTGCTGAGAAGTGTGTAAGCCTGACGATTCATAGACGTGTACCCCCGGGGCGAATAATATATTATGTGTTAATAAAAAAATACTTTTGACAGTGTTCCCTAATTACCAACAGTGATGGCTGTGGTCAACATGGACGAAGTAATTAACGGGCAGCATTGTTCTTACTATGCTGAAGATCACCTAAAATATTACCAAAAGGCTTGACTTAAGGTCTAAGAAAAGAGCACCACGAAATGACTTTTACCTCATAGAATTACAAGGGAGGCTTTGAAAATATTCACAAGGGACCTGGGAGTCCTGATAAAAAAGATAACACATGATCTTAATTTGTGGCACAAAGAACCACCAAAGAATCAATGAAACTGGCAAAATATTTTTAGATGTACATAATGCCTATATATTGAATGGCAAATTACTGTGGAGACTTTAGTTATGATACCTGATCATCAAAACAATGTCATCTTTATCTAGTTAATATACAATACTTTTATACAAAAACCAGATATCCACGAGCAATGTTGGGTGAAAGGTGGGATAATCTGTGATGTCCAGATGATTGAAGGGCTGGGTTGATGTGGTAGAATTAGATGAAGGGCTACCCAGGGAACTCACTTCCTTTTCTCTTTTGTAAATTTTAAAGTAAATTAATGAGCACTGAATCACAATATATATGTCTTTCTAGATATAATGTACTTGTTTTGTATAAAATGTGTTATCAACAAACACTTCTGTATCTCCAGCTATAATGTAAACAGTGACATAAGAAATAAAACGATGTGTTCTTTTGAAAAATGTCTTAAATTTTACTTTACTGGACAGCAAACTAAAGCAGAGAGATCATGACGTATCTAAGGCCTCCCTTTCGCCTGACTCTCTATTCTAACAAAAGGATCTATCTCTTAGGAGGTCCTTCTGGGCAAAGCTAATTTTAGGATTCATTTTTGAAATGAAACCTCTTTAGATACTCGGGTACCTAGCACATAGTAGAAAAGCCCTCAAAACATTCTGTCTCTTGATTCAACTTCCGAAGATAGCAGAAACGTCTTATTCCGTTCCCCAGATACACAGGATATTCAAAACACTACATTCAAGAATGAGGAACAACAAATGAACACGGGAATAAAGACAGAAATACATACAGATAGACCATAGCTAAAATTCTTACGGTAACTGCTTAACTTAGATTTTGGTAACTGATTGCTACAGATTTTAGCTTGCAGGCAGGCAGTTTACATTACAACTATAGAGGGCAAATGGCTGATAAAACACTCTTATAATTTCTTTGACTCAAAAGCCCATATACCTGCACCCCTAGAAGGATTCTGACATGAAGGAATAGGTAACTTGCTTCTACGCGGGGTATCGCTTCCCGGACTCTTTATCAACCCTGCATACAAAAGAAATTGCAAATGTATTTTGATAGAGATATTAATACTTTCAGAAAAAAGAAAATATTTAAAAGGACTGGAAACCAGAATTCTTCTGTATCAAAAAACGTGTAGAATTAAAAGTACATTTGAATATGCCCGATTATATTTTAATGAGCTGTTGGAGATAGCTCATTTCCTTCTCCTCTGTTTTCTATCCTATTAAGACGGATATTTAATACATACTGTTGGCATGTCTGTGTGCAATTTCTGCCTCTAACAGGTTAACAGGGATCTTTCTATTCCTCCAACAGACACAAGCTGAATTTCAGCTCAAAGCGAGTTTTCTGTGCCCCTGTGTTATCCTCCATAGTCAACTCTGACTCATTATCAAGACTCTACCGTCTTCAAAATCCGTATTTATACCTGCTAGGTTTTCAGGTAATGGGGAGAAGATGACAGTATTGAATCTGTTCTCCAGACAGGCCTATCAAGGATAATTTTTTCAATCATTCACCGTTCAGGAGAGACAAAATGATGCCACAGCCTATGGGATTCTGTAAGAGCAGAATGGCCACGTCACCAAGACACTTCTTGGCTCCACAATGAACTGATCTAGAGCCCAGCTGCAAAGTCGCTCACATTTGCCAAGAGAGGTTTTGAGTACTCTTTGGGGCCCACCCAACGCACAAACAATGATTTAAACAAAATGAAAACAAAACAAAACAGGCTGACTCACTCCAACACTCCCAGCTCCATCCTGTAGGACGAGGGCTAGAAAATGACGTGAGGGTTAGCCTAGGGATTTCTATGTTATTTTCATTTTCAGAGTGTCTACACGGTGGTAAGAGTATCAAATAGGGTCTAATTAAACCTCAACACACAGACCTGCTCATACCACCGACAAAAGAGTTTACTGTTCTGATTATGTGCTACCACAGGGTTATCTTTACTAAGGAAAAAAGTCCCCAACTCAGTAGTCAAAAAGCAATGAAATCAGTTTACCCCATGTTCCACACCCTACATCCTCTTATTTATTGGTGTCAGATATTGAAATAAGAATCCAATGCCTGTCCAAAGAGCACTCACCTCATTGTCCGACTCCACGAGAACTTGGTCATATTCACTAAGCGCTACTAGAAACATGATAGAGGTGACATTTTCAAAGCAGTGTATCCATTTTCTTCTCTCTGACCTTTGGCCCCCTACATCGACCATTCTGTAAGGTTAACAATATTCATATTAATAGCATATAAAGAAAAAAGGATCAATATACACACAGCTTTACTTACACACTTAAGGAAAACACTCTCTAAAGAGAATGGCCATCCAACTCAATTCAATTAATATTTCTGGTGAACATCTACTAACTTTCTGTTCCCTAACAATCTAAGTCAAGACATTCTGGGTAATTAATAATTGTGGTTATAAGAATGTTATCTGATTAGTGAAAATGGCAACTTTGTAAAAAAAAAAAAAAAAATCTTGTGCCAGGTCAAGCAAACTGGTATTTTACTTCATTGTGCACAGAAAAATCAGAAACAAAATATGCTTTATTTGTGATAAGTTCTAATGGCAAGTACTAACGTCAGTTTCTTTTTCTGTAAAATGAGAATGAAGATCCTTGTGTATTTCTCAAGGATGCTAGAAAGGACTGCAAACACATTTAAAAGATACAAGATGCTACATATTTCAATATGGGTACGTGTGATGCTTCAACAAAATGCAAGCAGAACTCCGCTGATACGTTATCCATGGGGTATTCTGACTTGTTTTCTCCTTCCGATACTGGCAATAATCTGGGACAGGTCCAGTCACTGGACCGGTATCATGGTGCAAATGGCCTCATGCAAACAAACTTTCTAACCTGCTAAGAAGCAAAGTGTGTGAAACATCAAATGCTTCCAGAGGCCATCACTTGAACTCTTTCAAGGATTTGTTTTTAACATGTCAACGATGTGCTGACTTCCTGGTTAGGAACCAATGCTGACATCAATTAATGTGAGTTTCAATGTTTATATGAAAATATCAAGCCGCAGCTGGCACTGAAGCCAAGTTTCCTCAAAAGGTTCAATCCATATCTTGGCTAAAACGTCCACAGTGGTTGCGGGGTAAAATACTTTCAGAGAATGAGAGGCGGTCTCTCTGAGCATTTGCTGAAAACTGAAGTTATTCCTGGTCTTTCCCTGCCTTAAATGCAAACTAAGAAATCAAGGATCTTCTAGTTTTTAGTGACTGCTTCTAAAAGTTCTTTAAAGCACAGAAGAGACTTCTAAGGGGCAAAGCAACAGATTCAGGGAGACCTATGAATGATGGACATCAAAACTAGAACTCTTAAGTCTTTAGAAATATCAAATTCTAGTTCTTCCTTCATGCCAAGTGAAGAATTCATTACTCATTTATATGAAATCCTCATTCTATAAAATCCTGTCACCCTGAGCCCTATAAGATGCTTTCGATGATGGCAGGAAATTATTCTTCTGAGTCATTACTTTTACAGTAGTGGCAAAAAAGTGTCCTTTAAGCTAGTGAGCAAAATGTAGTAAAAACAAGACGTAAGAGTAACCTTGTTTCAGAATTCACTATCAATTGTAAAACAAAGAAGTGATGAAAATCTCTATGAAATGCTCTATATCTTCTGAAAATATTCTGCAGGACAGTTTTATAAGCGGTAGGAAACTTGGGTGTTCCAAATTGAAGATCTCCAAATGCTATGGACTCAAAGCTTATGTAATCCAGCATGCTGGAGCTACAAGGAACCTTGGTGATCATCTAATGCAACCATTTTAGAGATGGACAAAGAATGAGGTTCAGAAATATTTCTAAAATGCCACCTGCTTTCCAGATATATCCATTAGAGTGGCATATGGTGGCCAGACCTGAATCCAGGGGTGGAGACTGATTAGAATAAATCCCAGAGTGCTTTGAGGGCCTGCTCATCTGAACCACATGGCAGTTACCCACTGGGAGTCACATGACTCCTATATCACATCCCTCTAGTGAACGTAATTGTCTTCAATGGGATAGGCTCCCCCAGAGAACTCAACCCTCTATGCTCAAAGACATATATTCACATGGCCTCACTTCTCAAAGCACAATGTGGTTTGTATTCTAGAAGTATAACAGAGTGTTTGTATAGTAAGAGATCAAATGAAAGCATATTGGTATTATTTATTTTTTCTCTTCTTAAAAAACATTAAAATACTTTTGAACAGCAGCAGAATTCTTCATTCTATTTTCCTATATAAATTTGGACTGGGATAATCAATCCATTTTCAAAATTACCTATTTTGAAAAATTACAAGGAAGTTATTTCAGGAATATAAAACATCCCATATCGTTCTTGTTACTGAAGAATTCTGCATTGGTACCAGTAGACTTGAAGGAGTCTACTTTTGTCAAAAGCTTTTGACAACATATATTTTCTGTTCTTAGTAGGGGCGTAAGGTCATTCATATCTTACACAAATCTAAAGATATATCCATTGTCCTCACAATTAAAAAGTTACTCAAAGAATAGTCAGGACCAACGTTTAAGTGACTGATTTTGTTCAACCACCAGCAAATTTCAGATTTCACTGATTTCTTGGTGACTGAATTTGAAATGAGAAACCTGCCCATACATCTTTCCTCTGTTTCCTCTTTCTGGAACATATTACTTCATTTGTGTATCTCATGATAATAATTGGTCTGCAGATTGTTTCAAAGTCTACACATGATTTTAGTATTTGTAGAGTTCCCCAAATGTACTAGTCAAGGCACAGGAGCTGGGAGGTGGGTTTAACGGACTCAGTTACTACCTGAAAATGACACTTTGTAAGTCAAAGGGGTATTCGATGATCCCTGTGGTGGGGACTCGAACTCTAAGCACATCTTGCTGCGTAGGCAGGTAGGCGGGGTCAGCAACGCGGTCCAAGTCATTAAGATAGCTGGAGGAGGGAAGACACAACGAGAATGTTAGGACACCATCATGCCAAATCTGCCTCTGGAAATGGAAGGGCAAAACTAAATCCTAAAAGAGAGGTGGCGAAGAGGAAGGGAAATATCAGAAAGGGGTAGAGCAATCTGGAAAGTTGAGAGATAAAGTCAACTTTCCACTGGCCACAGCAAGGTAACCCATCTATGGATTGCCTGGTTCACAGGCTTTCTCGTTTCTTCCCTATCATTTGGAACCCATATACAAAGTAGAGGGGGAAAGGAAAAGAAATGAAAGGAGTCTTCTATTTTCTGCTTATTTAGCAGGTCTGGTGGGTAAAGCCAGAGTTCAAAGCAAACAGATTATGAATTACGGACAGAACTTTTATTTGTGTATTTGTATAAATAAACAGTTAACAGAGTGATACATAAGGTCAGAATCTTTTTTTTTTTTTTTTTTTTAACAGAATATCAGAGTGCTTTTCTCTGGAATGTATTTCCTTATTCCCCTAAGAGAGGTCAGCAGCATACCATGTCCTAAATTCTGTCCAAAGCTAAGTCATTTGTGATTAATGTGAAGCCACAATTTTTGAGGTTTCTGGTTACTGAGCTAACAATGTCTAAGGTCAGATATTCCCAGTGTTTAGAGTTACCACACCTAAACTTCAAATTTATCTGCTTCTATGATACTTCTCCATTCCTTTAAAAAAACAAACAACAAATCCTTTTCATTTTGAAATAATTTTTTAACTAACAAGAAGTCGCAAAATATTCCAGAGAATTCTCCTGTACCCTTCCCCCAGTTTACCCCCGATAATACCTTACATACAATGAGGTATTACCAAAACCAAGAAACTGGCATTGATCCAATACTATTGACTCAAATACAATCTATTTAGATTTCACTAGTTCTTATACACACACACACACACACACACACACACACACACACACACACATTTTTGGGGCGTTTATATAGTACTGTGAAATTTTATCACATGTCAAGATTCATACAATACCCACCACAATCAGGATACAGAACGGTTCTGTCACCACGAAGAAAGTGTCCTGTGCACTGCCTCTCCTGAGCTTAACCCCTGGCAACCACACGTATGTTCTCCATCAGAGTAATTCTGTCATCTCAAAAGCGTTATGTTCCATTTACTTTTCACTCTCTCAAATTGCAAACCAATATTTTGCAACTTTGAGAATGACCTGGTTTGACAGAATTAATGACAAACAGGTGAAAAGGACCACTCTGCAAGGCATCCTAATGATTCCAAAGGCTTGCTACGCTCCCCTTGGCCCTGGACAGGATGCGGCACAGGTATGGTTTCAAAGCATACAGCTACGAAGGGTATACACTAAGTAACTAACATATTCATTAAGACTTAAAGAAAAGGTGGCCCCATGAATAGAATCAGAGGGGACTAGAATCTCAACACCTTTATGCCCACAAAACAAAACAGTGAGTTCTGAGGTACACACAGGAAATGTCTAGTGTGGCGTATGTTGTTAACTCAGCAAGAGTACAAATATTCAGTCGATGTGACCTACCTATGGGAAGGGTTTTGTCTTGACCAGCATTATTTTTGCCTTAGAACCTGAAAGAGTGCCTGGAGGACAGTACTTAATGAATATTTGTTGGATGGGTAGATGGATTTCCTATGCTGGTATTTAGTCTTTGCATTATTTAAATACCATTGTTACTAGCGGCGTCTCCATGTTACTTATATTATTAAATTTGAAATTGGGTGTTGACAAGAAATATTGCATTAATTCTCTAAGATTCATGGATCATAAAATAGTAGAGCTAAGTGGTTTTAACAAAGACATAAAACTACTGCATTTTTGGAGGTCTATCAAATTCTTTGAGACAAAAAAAAGGATCACCTTGGAAATTCCTAATGCAAAGTAACAAATTAATTAGTATTCTAGTGGCCTTACCCCAAACACATCAATTATTCTCTAGCTGGCAATTAGCTCTCTACTGACTGATAGGAACAAGCCTGATATCTTGAATTACTATAAAAAAATGGCTGGAGGATGAAGACAGGGAGGCTGGGACAATACTGGTGTGAGAGGCAGGAAGAAAAATGGATGGGATCCAAAATGTTAGTCAATATCTTGGCATGGTCTTGGAGGTATCTGATGGGCTTAACAAGCCCTTGTTCTGGGATCTGGTTTGTACTGTGTCTCATTCTACAGATAAACCAGCTCAACACACCATAAATACAAAATCAACTGGCAAGTCTGTAGCCATGGGGTTTTCTGATTTACCAATTCCCTGATTTGAAAAACTTGAAATGAATGTACATTTTGAAACCCACAAGACCACCATTTATTTAACTACTATATATAAAAATCAAGTCAGAGGAATGAGAGAACTTCTAGTTTCCATGGGCAAGCTGGCCCAGAAACATGCTGCCCAGTCAACCATGTCCGCTCATGTGCTACAACTCACAGAGGTCAAACGGGGTGGTTCAAGCCTGCACACATGGCGCTGTCATGTTCTGCAGTAAAGAGAAATCATGGCTTTCTGGTACTCGAAGGTGAACTCAATAGACTACCCCAAGTACGAATGTGTCTTTGCAGAGGAGAACTTTGAGAATCATCACAGAAAGTGGGAAATCACAGCACGGCCCATGATGGAACAAGAGAGAATCAGGGTGCTGTTTCCGTGACCAAAAGCACTTAGAAGGACTTAGTGACTCCCCTAAAAATGTGGCCTATGGTATCTCTCCATGAACCAAGGGCACTACTGCAATATCAGCTGAATATCTAGAGTGTTCAGACTTGCATACTTTTCCTTCTTCGCCTTTCCTTTGCTCCTTTTCAACATCAGCACAGTCCGCAAAGAGGAATGACAACCTTGCAACAAGGAACTTAAACGGAGCACTAACGTGCTACTTGCCACACTCTACTCTGTTCACTGTACAAATTGTACAGCAAGGAAAGGACTATCGAAGATGTTCCATGCATTTCTCCAGTTCTCGCTTGGCATTCTTTTTGCTTTGTCTCAGAGGGTGGTGGGGAGAGAAAGGCTCACTTTAATCTGGAGTATTAAAGTTGTATTAATCCAGCTCCCCGAAAGGAAAAAGCTGAAAGGAGTGGGACTGAGGTCCGCTAGTTGTACCGCACGTCATCTAGAACCCAACCTAAGGCAAAGGCCACGCACCTCCAAAACAAGGCAAGAAGAACAAAATGAGAAAACACAACCAACCACCCAAAAGACGTGTAAGTGATTGTCTCCCGAAGGAAGGTCTGGGTGTCTCAGTAGCTGCACCAGGACTGGGTTGTGGACGATTTGTTGAGCAGGGGAAATGTGGGTGCAATGGAGTCCTGCATTTTTCGCTCTGGGGAGTGGCCAGCGTGGAGAGCTTCTCCCCACCTAAGTCCCATCTATGTGGCCCCCTTGCTCTGGGCTCACCGCACCTTCTGCATTTGACATTGGCTTAGGGGAAACAGCCACTCCTGTTCCTGTAGAAATGTGGCACAGAGTGGTAGGACCGGCACGTCCTTTCGTGTTGATTCTTGTCACATTCTAAGAAAAGGTAATAGAAGAGTCTCTGAATGGAACCGTGCTTTCCATTGAAGCATCTGATATTCTGAAGAGAAACTTGGATGGGCTATGGGGGAGGGGGGCTTGCAGTGGATTATTCCATTCATTTAACCTTTTACAAAGAAACACCAAGGTCTGAACAAATTTATACTGCAGAGTAAATTCAGAGAGTTAATTATAGCTATAATTTGTTTTGTAGGAATGATTCTGAGTGGCTGCTGAGGTCATTCTCAGGGTGTTGCTATGGTGACAGGCACAAGGTACATTTCCAAGGCGATGTATGTGTCACAAGTGGCCGGCAGTAGCTCTCTCCTGATGTCAGGGAGAGAAATCTCCCTGGTCTACCTGGGACTTATTTAACTGTCTAGGAGACAAGGCATGTTTAAGAGTGTGCTAGAAAATGGGAGGTTTAGTTGATGAATCTGTACTCGAATCCATCCATGGGGACTGAATAACTTGCTGCTGCTTTGAGACTTTTGTAATTGATAACCTGGTAACTGATTAAAAAAAAACCCCTCAGTATTTTCCCACATGTGTTTGCCCAGTCAGGACTCTCTCACACTCGGTGGAGTCAGGGACCATGAGTACCTTTGTTTGTGTTTGGTCACCAACACTCAGCTGAGGGCCTAGAACACAGCAGGTGCTCAACCCGTGACCCAAATTAAGATAATTTTGTAGAAAATGTGGTAGTGGTTATGACGGCAGGTTATACCTTCTAGAAGAAAATAGAGGAGTAAGGGGCTTGCTAGCTACCTGCCTTTATGTAATTACCTCGCTGGGCTATTACTGGCCTGATTATGTAAGAACTAAATTCTGAATTTAAATGCCTCTGACGAATGTAGAGACGACAGAGAGAGGAAAGGCATCTTTTAACTTCATTTAGCAGATATGCTTCCTGCTCTTCCGGGGGTCCTGGCCCCAGAATGAAATAATTTGTCTGTTTCATGCTCGTCAATATCAAGCTTTCAGGCCTTGGAATTCCCCCTAGCCCTGGGCAAATGGAAAAAAAACCGTATTGACAGGCAATTCTGACATACTCTCTTTAATGGAAGAAACAGGTTTCTGATGGTTTTCAGTGAAAAGCAAGGCAACAGGAAAATTCATGTAGTAAGATTTCAATCGTTGCTTTCCTATCGCGAGAAAACTGCAGGGTCATCTAGAACTCACGATACATTTTGACTACGACGTTCTCATAGGTGCTAAGGCTCTGGGCGAGATTCCCCACGATACAATCCCTGTCTGCAAAGGACTCTACCAACGTGTGGCAAAAAAAGGGTTATATGAGAAGGAGAAATGGTAAAGTTCATTAGGGGTAGAAAGAACATCTGTATATTTTGGACAGAGTCATTTTCTGGGAACTTGTTTGAACTGTCTCTAATCCTTGGTGATGATCCACAAAACATCCTTCTGTAGTATGAGTGATTTGATTAAGGAAATCGTGCTCATTAGTTT